AAGAGAGTCCTCTGCGCTGTCAATGAGACCACGATAGGAAACGTTTTCTCCTCTGCTAGAATACAGAGTTGGTTTTTTATGATGCACTGAAATCAGGTCAAGTGCTGCAGCACTGCTGTTGTATACTCAAGTTAAGTAACCATGGTGTGTGTGTGTGTGTGTGTGTGTGTGTGTGTGTGTGTGTGTGTGTGCGTGCTTGTGTTTCAGTTTGCTCGGGTTCAGGAGAGGATGAATGTGCAGGAGGAGCTGGACAGGCTGCTGTTCCTGGTGTCGGATCAGTCTCTGTCTCTGCTGCCTGAATACCACCAGAGGATCAAGGTTTGGACCAGACGTTTGACTCGCTGTCCCATTTCTGTCAGGGCGTGTTTTTTTTTTTTTTTCCAGAATAAGGTCACTTTCCAATCCTGTGGAGTGGATTTTTATTTTGTTATCAGAAAATCTAACTTGATTCATATCTCTGAGAATGTTGTTTATCATTTTAGTTATGTTCTCAAATATTCACATTTGTATTTAGGCCTTCAGTCTAATACACATTATGATGGTAGAGGTCCTACATCAGGTTCTATTGTTGCATTCACATGGAGTCAGGAGGATGGTAGATGGCAAACTGGATATCATTTCAGTGGATAGGAGCAGGGTGATAAAATAAGATGAGGCCGGCAGAGAATGCCAGCAATAGTAACTGTTTTCCTTCTTCAACAATGGAATTTACAACCAGATGTTATGTAGCTCCTTCACACAAGGAGAAAACATGGGAGATATGGACACTTACTGGACATTACTGGAAAAAATTACATAAAATAATTAAAACAAAATTCATTTATTCAATATATTTCTTTCATTCTTTGTAAACAATACAATACAATAATAAGTCACCATCGCAACATATGGTCATGCATGTTTTGTTTTGCTGTCCTGCCATTCAACTGGACTATTTCCCTTTAAGTATTCCTTTAAGTTGCAGAGCATTACGTGCAACATCCCTGGTTCAAGTCCAGCATCTCTCTCTTTAATGTCTGCTGTATCTAATAAAGGCATAAAAATGCCCCCCAAATAATAAAAAGACACAAAAAACAGTCCAACATCCAAATATATTGAATTTCTAATGGATAAAAACAGCTAATCTTCACATTTGAGAAGCTTGAATTAGTAAATATTTGGAGTTTTCGCTTGATAAATAAGTTAAATAGACATTAAGTTGGATTAATTAACTAATATATTTCAATTTCAATGTTTGTTGCTTGAGATTTAAGACTTTAGACTTGACTATAAACCAAAGTATTTGGACAAATTAACAATTTGACCTGATGATGGAGGATCACCAAAGACATTAAGGATTGTCCTCTGGGAGCCGTGTATGGTTGCACAAAATTTCAGGGCAATCTATTTATATTTGTTGGAACATTTCAGTTTGGACCAAAGATGTGGACCAACACACCAAGCTAGACCCCCGAGAGAGAATTACTTATAATATCAGAAAATGTAGGATCACAAATTGAGTCACAAGCCACAAAATATTGAGAAACACTGGGTTCCCACAGTCATTGAAAGCCTGGAAAAGTCATGAAATTTCACAATCTCAAGTGCAGTGTGCAATAGTCACATTGAAGGATGAGCAATGTCAAGTGAGGCAAATTAAGTCAAACAACTTATTTGATGCTTGATTTAAATGGAAAACTTGCACAGTTCTGATTTTCCATGACTTACACTGGCCAAACCTTCCACTTTTAGACGTTATGCGTGTATGTGACGTAGTGTTGTGGTGTTTGTTATGGGAAGCAAGACTCTCCTGCCTGTGTGTGTAGAGAGAAGTACTGTAACCAGGCCGGCAAGTGCTGCAGCAGACACAGTGAAGTGTATGCTTTTCCAGAATAAAAATTTTGTTATGAGTCCTTGAAAAGTCATGGACAGGTTTTAAAATTTGGCCCATGAAAATGTGTGTGCAAACCCTGGAAACAAAGTCCTACATCATTAGTGTCACTATAAGCCTGTCGTATTGACTCTATAGACTCTACTTTTTAATTTTTTTTGCAGTTTCATAGAGGAGTAGCATTTTAACTGAGTGCCGGCAGATTCAGTTCGATTGATCCTGAACAGTCACACTCAGAAGTTTATCTCCCCACTCCTCTCCCTCAGGTGCTGCAGTCCCTCCAGTACGTCGACACCAGTGGGGCGGTCCAGCTGAAAGGCCGCGTCGCCTGTCAGATTAGCAGCCACGAGCTGCTGCTGACCGAGCTGCTGTTCGAGAACGTCCTGAGCCCGCTGGCGCCCGAGGAGAGCGCCGCCCTGCTGTCCTGTTTGGTGTTCACTCAGAACACACAGGTTGAGCCGCACATTACCAACACGCTGCAGGAGGTGAGGAGGAAGTGGTTCATTCTGGCTTGTATCTCATGGAGAGCATGGATATTAAAGTGACAGTCATGATGTGTGTACTGACATACTGTACAGAATCTGCCTCCTCTGTGGGTGACTCACTCTCACTCTCACACACACAAACGCATACACACACACACACACACACACACACACACATAGTACATCTTCTCCCTGCAGAAAGGACAGTAAGGGCACTCCACCTGACTCATCCCCGTCAGTCCCTCACTTCTTAATTCACTCGTCTGTCTCTGTCAAGCTGGGCTCTGCTGTGTCAGTGTGTGTTGTTAAACGGCCCCTGATACATGAAAGTGCTTTATGAGAGCCTGAATTAGTGATGACCTGAGCTCTGCAGACCTGCGATAGGAGAGCAGATGCGTCATGGCACAGTTTGTAAAACAGATTTCTTGAACAACACCAAGAGGAGAGAGAGTGATGCATTTAAGGGCCGCTTGTAAAACTAAAACCACTGTCTTTTATGCTTAACTCAGTCTTTCTCATCTGCTCCCCCACAGATACAGCCAGTATTTATGGGAAAGCCTAGAAAACGTCACATCCTTTTACACTTAGGGGAAAACAGCATTCACTACCATGCTGAAGAGTTGCTGCCAGGTTGCAATGTGAATACTCAGGGCACGATCGCAGTTTACACCCACCCAAAGATCCTTTTTGTTGAACCAGAAACAGCCTCAAAATCGCTATCGCCAAACCCAGACTCTATTTAAATAAACAGTAATTTTATAATTGGTTGCAGAACCTTGTGTGATAATGTTACAGCACATCATCAAAACTCTGGCTAATGGCACTGAGTGGCATTAGCGCCGCTATACTGTCTCGAAACGTGCTTGGACGTCACTATTACATCATAGCGTTAATGGCTGCAGGGTACTGATATTATGATAAGTTTAATGGATCAAATCGACGGTAAGTGTAGTGACTCTTATGTGAGTTTAAAAACTGCGTCTTCCCAGCATTTACAGGCTGGAGGAAAGGACCGTTTCCCCCATCGCCGACTCTGCTCTCACTACGCCCCCCAAACTATGACTAGACACTGACTGTATCTCTCTCTCTGTCTCTTTGTCTTTTTTCCAGGGCATCGATCGGGTGCTGTCAGTGGCCAAGCGTATCGGAGAGCTGCAGAGGGATTGTGGGATACCACAGACAGCTGAGGAGTTTGTTGGCCAGTTCAAGTTTGGCCTGACAGAGGTGGTGTACTGCTGGGCCAGAGGCATGGTGAGGTTTGACTCCTTGTTGTTGCACTTGATTGTGACCCCATTTAACACCTGGTAATTACATGCAGTCTGTATCTGGATGAGAAGAAAACTGCATATCAAAGGAGCACTCAACCAATTTCACATTTAAAGATGAGTTTACTCGTCATGGGGAGAACTACTCAGCACTGTGAAAACAGTTGCATGTCTTTCTTGGCTCTGAAAAGAGCTTTTCAACATCTAAAAAAGTCTCAGCTTGGGCACGGAGATATCAAAATCTTAACAGAAAGATCGTGTTACAAACTGTGGGAAGGAGTTTGAAAGATAGACATTTACCAGGCATGGAGGGTCTGACAAACGCTGCTTTTAAGCATCGTGGGCATTTTAGGATTCAGGACATCTCAACCTCTGCTGCATTGATCATGGCCTTTCCTTTTTTAGTACATCTTTAAAGCTAAGAGTGGAACTTTTACATAAAAATGAAGGTCCGTTGCATTCAAGCCCTGGCTAAACAAGTTCACACAATGCTAATTAAGTCTGTCGCCACCTGGGAACGCTCTCTGTATTTTGCAGTTTGGGTGTTGGGTGAGGATTTTCCCAGGCTGGGGCACTGGAACTGATGCCTTTTATGTAGACCAGCCAGAGCTGAATTGCGCAGGAAGCAGGGAGAGACCATAGCAACGGAGCAGCGGCTAGGAATATGATAGAAAATCACAGGAGAAGTTTCAGTTGGTTGCAACCTCACCGCTACATGCCACTAAATCCTACAGACTAGACCTTCTAGACACATCTTCCTGATTCACCATCTTGTCATGTCATGTCTCACCCTCCTTCTGTCTCACTCCCTCTGTCCCACCACAGCCGTTCGCAGAGATCGCCCAGCTGACCGACGTCCAGGAGGGCACGGTGGTCCGCTGCATCCAGCGCCTGGATGAGGTCCTAAAGGAGGTGCGACAGGCCGCCCGCATCGTGGGAGACTCCGTCCTGGGGAGCAAGATGGAGAAGGCCTCCCTGGCCATCCGCAGGGACATTGTCTTCACCGCCTCCCTCTACACCCACTGAGAGAAAGCAGCCGAGCGTTTCTTTGTGCGAAAGGTGTGAGAGAGATGTGGGGGAGGTGAAGAGATGCTTCATGTTAACAAGTGCTGTATGTGCCTATAAAAACATGTTTACATGACAATTCCTGACAACCAAGAAGGGAATGATTTTAACCAACAGACCAAAGTGCAGACTGTAGGAATGAACATGAAATCTGTAATTTATTGTACAGTAATAAAAATCTGTATTCCAAAAACAATGTATGTAGAAGTCCAAATGTTTTTATTGCATGCTTCACAACCTCCTGGCTGCTCTGGCATCCTGTAAACACCTCCTGAAGGAAGAATCTGCGATGTGAGGACAACATGCGTGAGAGAGAGGGGGGGAAACTGAGGTGCTGAAATGTCACGCAAGGAAAGAAATGTCTTTGTTGAGCAGTGATGGGATGCTCCTGCACGGTGCATGTGCAGCTTTAACAGTCCGGACTGTCGCTTTAAGACAACGATAGCTTTGTGTCTGATTAATTCAATGTACGGCGACGCGTTAGTGGAGAAACCTTATCAGACTCCAGCCGCACACAGAGGGAGACAGAGGAGAGGAGGAGCGCTGCGAGAGAATTGGCTTCACTTACAATAAAAAAAACACTTGAAGTTATTATTATAATAAAATCGTGGGTGTTTTTAAGATGAAGACATCTTGAGGATGGGTTGCTCGGAGTAGAAGTCTGCATTATCGCGCACAAAAGGAGGGATTTTTTTTCCACCAGCTGCTTGGAGTAAAAATATATCACAGGAGGAGGACAGAATATGTCGTCGGAAAAACACGGTGAGGTGTTTTAATTATATTAAATGTGGCGCATTGAAGCCTAACTGCCAGCCCACTTCTTCTTCACCTACATTGAGATGTGAGGATTCTTTTTTTTTTATTTAAATGGACATGGTTTTGTTTGATGCATATCAGACAGAGGGGATCTTCTCCCCCAGCTCCCCCTCTTGTCAACATCTCCATCCGCTATTTATCTGCACAGCGCTGCTTCCATAGGATGATGCACCGCTGTGTGGGTGCAGCCTGGGGGGAGAAAAAGCACCACAGGGCCTCTTGTTACATCCATGGTGCTCATTAGAGAGTTTAAAGTGTCATTATCAGACTTTATGTGTTTATATTTGCATCCCAAATGGGTTATTTCTTTCCTTTTGTGCAGGACTTCCTGTGCTAGTGTACATCAGCAGGCCACTTGACAGTGTATTATGGGGTTATTGTGATTTTTCCTCCCTTTCTCTGTGTGTCTCATTATCATCATTACGCACAGGCCTACGTACATCTCTCCTGACTATTATAGACATCAGTGTGGGTGTCCTCCTGCGCGTGCACGCCGCCGCCTGCGCGTGTTTAATAGCTTTAATTAATAATAATCCTTAATGTCTGGTGCACTAAAACAAAAATATTTTGTCTCATTTCTTTTAGGATGTGAAAGCACCAACTACAGATGGAGCTCAAACAGACGCTTTATGATAATAAAGGATAAAGATCACAATGATGCATTTGCCATTGACACTGTAAAGGAGACTGCAGTTTGGGTTTACTGTCTGCTGTGTTAATCAACCCTGTGTGGCCAGTAATAATCCATCACAGCTGCTAATAAAAGAACAACAGCAGGCCTACAGTATCATGTTATTTATGAGGATGCAGAACACTCACCAGTTTAAATACAGTACAGATGTGATACCTTGCAGATGTCTGAGTGGAAATGATTAGTAAAGGTCAGTATTATGTATTTGGAATAATAGCCTATTCTTTCAGTTGTCGTAGTTCAACCTGCTGCTTTCATCTAATGGGTTAGAAAACCAGCTGTATTTCTTACTGTCCCTTAAAAGATCCTTGGCACCCTAATTTAAAGGGACAGTTCAGCCCAAAATCAAAAATACATATTTTACCTCTTACCTGTAGTGCAATCTATCAGTCTAGATTGTTTTGGTGTGAGTTGCAGAGTGTTGGAGATATCAGCCGTAGAAATGTCTGCCCTCTCTTGAATATAATGGAACTAGATGGCACTCGGCTTGTGGTGCTCAAAGTGCTAAAAAAAATACATTTGAAAACTCAGCAGGGATGTCTCTTTTTAGAAATCATGGCCTGGTTATTCAAGATAATCCACAGACCTTGTTGTGAGCAGTTTCATGTAGGAACTATTTTCTTTCTACCGAATTACACCTGCCAACTGTATCACCGCTCAAAAGGAGGCGTGCATCTACTCATGGAAAGCGCAAGATGTAAACATTAATAGCGTCCTCCTCAGCTGAGCTGTAACCTTAGCTAGCTCAGTGGTGCTAAGTGAGCCAGCAGTAGAGGCACACCTACTTCTGTGCGGTGATATGGTTGGCAGGTGTAGTTCTGTTGAAAGAAAATAGTTCCTACATGAAACTGCTCACCAACACTCAGCAACTCACACCAAAACAATCTAGATTGATAAATAGCTCTACAGGTAAAAAGGAAAGTATGTATTTTTGATTATAGGATGAACTGTCCTTTTAGGGCCCTCTGAGTCAAACCTGGTCCACAGTGGGCTATGGCTGTCAAACACAGGAGCACATAATGACATAACTTTTCAGTTTCACTACTGAAATCTAGAACTGGATGATAAATGTTGATCTTGATTTCAAAATAATCACATAAAAGTGTTACAATTTGATATCAATATTGGAATTATAACAGCTCAAACTTTGTTTAGAAACTAGCGATTCACAAATAGTTATTAACATCTAATGTGTTATAACATTGCAGCTAGAACTGGATCAATATAGTGCTTATTAGCCCACTTCTTAAGATATTAAGATAGTAGAAAATGAATCTGTGCATATACCTTAATGTAATTTTAGTGAAAGCACTAAACACACTAACACTACATATACCTCTTTGAATTACCTCTAAAAACATACAATAGAGTTGTTTTACTTTGATTGATGACACCTCATATTTGTATGTGAATAATAATAGCCTCCATCCATCCATTCATTCATTTCAGCTCTGGCAGCTACGTGGCAGCTCACACCTACAACTTTTTTGTGAATTGTGATACTTTTCCTTTATTACTGGAAGTACCTGCTGCATCACCTGCTCTATCTTAAGTGCTGTGTCTGATAGAGGCATACTTTAGGCAAGTATCTAACAGTACAACTTTGAAGATTACACTTTTATCAATAGTCAGGATTTTTGAAAAACAATGCCTCCACAGTGAACCAAAAAGCCAGCAGTCTTGATAAATTCAAGTCGTAGGGGGCTACGTTTAACAACAATAAATCTGTCAGATAACCTTTTTTACAAACTCTCACTCAACACCAGGAGTATCATCTAAGTCTCAGATATCTAGTCGTATGCTCAGTACTTCCCTAACACATGCATTTTCTATACTACCTTACTCTTTACAACACTTAAGCATAGGCATCGCAGACAACTACTGGTTTGTGCATAAGGCTGTTTTACACTGAAGTGTTTTAAATATTACTGTTTTAGAGAAAATGCATTTGAGTTTGGAAGGTAGTAGGAAAACGACTGGATAAATGAGAGTTAAATTAGACTGCACGGGTTGTGTTTGTGAACAAATGTTTTGATTTAGTTCTGTGATCAATGCGGCCCCCTTTAACGTAATTCATCAAGATTCCTAATTTACCACGGAGGCATGTGAGAAAAACAATGTTCTTCATGAATTCGGCATAGGGTGTGAGTCATTTGGGGGTTAAATGTTCTTAAAAGTCTGGGTAAAGCAAAAATAAATATGTGTTACGAGAAAAATATGTTACCACCATATGTCCACCAAAGATGGATGGCGCAACTCCACTTACCCCAACGGTACAGAAGTGAAGCTAAAATATCGCAGATATGGCCACTGCCATCTTGCTCTGGTGACATCATTCAGAGCCAGAGTCTACACAGTAGCGATCTCCGTGTTATCGAATTTCCTGCCCATACACCTGTCCAACCATTTGCGAGCCGCATCACTGAATGTGAGCCCACGGATTGGCTCACACAGTTGTCAATCATGTTGTAAAATCCCCGTTTTATTGCATTAAATATCTAATTTAAACCGAACTCATAAGATAATCACGTGATAAAAACTATTTTAAATAACAGAAACCATCTTTGAGTAAAATTTATTTGATTTGTATTTTGAGTTTTTAGTTTGGCCCACGACCCATCTGCTAAATGGAGAGGGTTGGCTTTATGACCAGTACTGCAGCCAGCCACTGGGGGTGATTAAGAAGTTTCGGCTTCACTTTTGGGGAGCTGTCATGTCGTCCAGTTTTATATACAGTCTATGGTTACAACAAAAAAATGTGTTATTAACCACCCAGTCAAATTTGGATGAGTTAAAAAAAACGCCAAGTGTATGAAATAAGGTTTCAAAATCGTGAAAAAAAGCAGCGTTCTCTCTCGCTCTTAGACATTGAGGGCAGTGATTATATAGTGGGGGAGGGTGTGTGTCAAGATGGCTCCAGTGCGTCATGGAGCCATGGTTTCAGACCCACCCGAAAAATCCTGGACACAAAACTGTTCAACGGTCTACCGTCTAACTCATAAATAGTTCCCAGTCTTTTCAGATACAGGTATACAACAGGTATTTTCTAACATGTATAATGTGTTCAGAGATAAATCATTGATTTTATTGACTTGACTTTAAAGCCAATGTTTCAGACGTGTTACTGTGTCATGTTACCTATTTTTGAACTGTTAATCTACCGCGTACTAGCTTCTTTCTTCTCTTAGTCATGTCTTGACAGATTTTGGCCTTTAAATTGGAGAAACCCCAACATGTGTTTTTGTCTCTCATGTTTGCCAAGATGCCCGTCACGCCCCATCATGCCCTTTTAAAGGTGTCCCTTCCCTCGTGTTCGCTCCCCTTCCCCTCTTGTCTGTTTCTGGTCCACTTCCTGCTTGTGACAGAGTCGGGGACTGTTATGTAAAGCAGGTCCCCGAGCACAAGTCGTCATCCCTCATCACTCAGCTGCTCCACTCTCCCTCCCGACTGCCTCCTGCTCTCCCTCCTCTGTCCCATCAAATCCTTACTCCTCCATCCTCACCTCCATCTATCTCCATCTTCTCGTCCTCCTCCCTCCTCATGTCCCTGTCAAACTGGATTACCTCGGCCACTTCCCTGCTGTGAAAACACGACACCCCCCATCAGTCATTTTCAATGTTAAACAAACACAAAGGGAGCAGAGGTGTGAGCATGAAATGTTCAAGAGATGCTTCAGACAGATCATCAGATGAAATTCTCCATCTCAGAAATGCCACGTCTTTAACCGCTAATAAACATTGTTTTTGAAGGCAGACGGAGAGAGAAAGGCATTTCTTTTCTTTGGAGGTGAAAATGTCAATCACTGTCATCATTAGCACACAGACTGCACAGGTTTTCTTTCTTTGCGGAGGCTGTTTGAAGTCGTGCTGAGGAGCTGTGGTCTGTGTAATTGTTTCTCCCTCTCTTCAGCAGCAAGATAAGACATATTACATTGAACACGCGGACAAACGTGTAGCAGCGCTCGAGTTAGATAACATGCCCTCTCTCTTACATCTGTTTCTTTTATTGTTCTTCCTCTGCCTATTCTATTTGTGATTCCTCTCCTACCTGCTCTGTTCTTATCTTCCCTCCCTCTCCTTCCTCCTCTCTCAGGTCTCGATGACTCTGGCCGTCAGACCATGCAGCCTCCTCCATACCTCCCGGGCCCTCAAGACCCAAACATGCCCCAACATCCCACCATGCAGCCTGCACCGGGCACCCAACCTAATTACCCTCCTCCGCCTCCTCCTCCGGGCTCAGAGGGGTATCTCCAAGAAACCCAGTTCCAGTGTGCCCCGCTGGGACCACAGGGGGCCCCGCAGGGTTACACGGTCCAGACCCAGGCCCCTGGGGGCACCATGCCTCATCCACCTGTAGGATACCTCCACCCAGGCTACCCGCTTCAGCTGCAGCCCTGCACGGCTTACGTACCCGTCTACCCCATGGCGTCGGTGAGTCAGAGACAAGCAGAGATGCTTTTAAAGATTTCACAGGTCTGACATCAGGCTGCTGCAGAGTTACACCAGTCTGTTCAATATATTGTATGTTTCTTTCTACCTCATATCACGAGTTATGGTTCTTATGTTTTCCATCCTACACGCTTTATTTTACGGCTCCATTATTTTCCTAATAAATTTCTGGGAAGGTTCTTTGGAAACAAGTAATGTGGTACTAATTCTAGCTAAAATACAGACAGTGTTCTGTTAATTCAGTCGATTGTGTTGAATTTGTGATAAATGTTGATTTCCGGATGAATTTCCTTAATTACCTTGAAAAGATCCATTGTTACCAGTTAAACGGTGTCTCTATTTTCCCTTTAAGTAGAACACAATTACTTTGAAATTCCGTTGGAAATAATCAGAAAAATATACATTTGTTCCAGTTAGCATGTTGTTACATATCAATTATTTGTATGTTTGGCAGCATCCAGAGACCCAGACAACTGAAAATGTAGGCAACAGTGTCTGTAACAGCTAACTTAGCTGATGTGGATTTCATTTAATTATTTGGTTTATTGTGGACAGACAGATACACAAGCATGCAGTCAAATATTTACTGAATACACTAATTCTACCTGCATTATCAGTGCATTTACGCTAAGCTAATTTTTAGTCCGTAAAACATTTTTGTTTCATGGTACTAGGCTATTACATTATTCTAAATGTTACTTCATTGCTTAATTGCAGTTTTCTGGCTGGTATCAGATGACAGGAATGGCTAACTTTGTTTGTATTACACATTTCAAACAAAAAAAATGAGAGGAGGATGATCTTTTGCATTATGAGAATAAAGTCAAAAGTCAAAAATAAAGTTTAAATTTGGAGGATAAAGTTGCATGTTCGGTATTAGTGCTGAGCATAAGCAAAAAAAATAAAAAATCAGAGGAGGATTTTTTTGCACTTTGAGAATAAAGTTGAAATGTCAAGAACAGAGTTGAAATGCCACATGTCGAGAGCAAACCTGACATTTCAAGGTTAAAGCCAGACTTTTGAGAATGAATAAAACTACTAGTGTTAGCGCTCATAGCTGCCTTTAAAAATGCCTGTGAAATTGTGAATCAGTTTTAGTAACAAGGAAATTATTTCTCTTTTAGCACATAAACACTGTATAGTTATAAGTATTGTGACTTTGATGAGATTGTGCTGAATACTGCATCAGTTCGGAAGAGGAAACCACACAAACCAGAATGATCGCAATGGTGCAAACTGAAGTAGCTGATAATGGACAGATGCAAGGGCATTGATAGTTACACCTGTGTGCAGAACAGAGAGGATATGTATCACAAGACACGATTTGATAGACTAGAGGAGTTGACTTTATTCTTGACATTTAGACTTTATTAGCCAAAATGTAAATAAATAAATAAATAACATCTTTTCTCATCTGATTTACTTTTTGTTGTGGCTGGCAGTAATACTGAGCAAGCTGGTACTGAATATTAATATGACATCAGAAAGAAGTTGGACTGACATCAAATTTTGGTTGAAAATCGGGTTGATAATATTTTAAATGTTGAACGTCGTTTTAATTTCATGTTGTATGAACATTAACATTATGACGTTTTGGAGATTTTAGGTTTCTGTCTCCATACCTCAGGACTAAATGTCATTATTCCCCGTCAAGATGACGTTAGCACAAGACCATTGGAGGACATTAGATTTTGGTTATTTAACTCGACTTAAAACCAACAAACTATCAACATCATCTATCATCAATATTTGACGCATTAGACGTACTGACATTGAATTTTGGTCACATGACGTCACAGCCTAAATTCAACCAAATGTCTAACAATGTTGATGGACAGTTGGGAAGTTGACTTTATTCTGGACACTTTGACTTTATTTCGAAGTGCAAAATAACTAAAAAATCTTCCTTAAAAAATCTCCACTGAGACTAAAAATAACAAACTCTGACATAAATGACATTTGCATACTAGAACTTTAAGCATGCTGAATGAAGTTGCATCAATAACTTTCATAAGGATAAATAATGTCCTCACGATCAGTGGTTTCCGACCTGGGGTCAGGACATCCGTCAGGTCACCTGATAAATCTGAGGGGGCCACGAGATGATTAACATCACAGGAAAGAAGAAAAACCACTGCTGCTACACAAAATAGTGTTGTTGTTTTTTTTACTTTTTAAAATGTTTATGCTTTTGCTTATGCTTTTTAACCCTCTGGAGTCCACGGACTCCCATGACCAATTTAAGATGACGTAACAGCAAGACACAGTCTCGCTGAGTCTCCATTTCAACTTGAATCGAAAGTGCAAACTTCAAACTATATTTCAATTTTAAATTGTGTTGATAGGCCAAGTAAAACCAGACTTATGATAAATAATTTAAGCCACGCTTTTTTGTGAATATTGTCGTCACATTTGGTGCGGGATTGGTGCAGGAACAAACGGTAAAAACAGGCTATTCTAAGGAAAGTGATCACAAGCAGAAAGTGCTTGCAAGCAACGAAGAAAAAAACATGACACCCCCTTTCCTATTGGTGGTGTTCTTTGTGTGATTTTAGGTCCAATGTGTTAATACAGTATGTCAAGATGAAAAAAATGACTGTAAAGTCACATAGGTGGGGTTGTGCTGAAAAAAAATGACACCAAACAAGGCAAGGTAAACCATTTTTAAGGTGAAATTTAAAGGTAAAATCAAAAGTATTCAAAAACAGCCAGTAATACCCTTGACCACAAAGGGTTAAATGTGAAAGTTTTATCTCTCTTTAAAAACTATTAAAATGAGACCTTTTGGGGTGCCTCAGTGGCATCCGGCTTAAAGCACTGAACCACAAACTGCACAGACCCCGATTCACATTCTTTGTTACATGTCATCTCTCTCCCCGCTAATTTCCTGTCATCTCTCTGCTGTTGGCTATCTATTAGAGGCACAACATCCCCCAAACAACAACAAAAAAATTACATCATTTGCGACGGGAACATCAGCCTTTGCCTGACAGTTATGAAGCCTGAGATGAGGGGATCTGAAAAGGCATTCCTTTGGTATAAAAACAGGTTGTGAACCAGTGCCCTTTTGAAATACGGCTGCACATATTTACACAGTAGATAAAACCATTCACACTATCCCCTGAAGTAAACTGAAAGTGGTGAAATTAGGCCCCAAATTGTGATTCATCAGACAACTGAAAATGCCTTTGTGCAACCACAAGTCTCACCACTACTGATCTGAGAAGAGCTGGGTTTAATCTTCTTCACTTTACTGGACTCTTTAATAAAACTAAATATTTAATGACTCGTTTAATATATAATTTATGTATGTGTGCATACATTTTTGTGGACAGGAGGTTGAGTAGAAAATCCAGCACCGTAGCTGCAATCTCACAAATTAATCATAAGACAATTCAGGCCACACTGCTGATAAAGCTTAGACATGCATGAGACTCATGCAGCTGTCCTCCTCTTTGACTGTGTCACCTTGTTCTTGTGTCTTTTGAGTGGAAAGTGCTTTGTAAGCGGCTCTAAAGTGCTGGTACTTACTCTCTCTGTCTTCTTCTCTCCCTCCGCTCAGGGTCAACCCTACATGCCCGCAGCAGGAGGCCACCCAGGGATCCCACCGGGCCAGATTCATCCCATGCAAATGCCACCCAGCATCACCCTAATGGACCGCCGACCGCCACACGACTACCTGCCCATTGCTGTGCTCACCACCGTCTGCTGCTTCTGGCCAACAGGCATCATTGCGATCATCAAAGCAGTGCAGGTTAAATGCCACTTTATCGCATCTTTCATCTTTGTGGATTGTTAACATAATGTTGCCTTCACCAGGGAGACTTTGTCACGTAAATGCATAAAGTCGTTTTAGCCTTCGTTTTATTTCCAGACGTGTATTTGCCTTTAAGAGTGACACTCTGAGGTACTATAAATCACACTTATTTTAGTCACATTAAGATTCAGTTTTTATGGAAAAACCTCCATAGCTCCAGGGATGGCAGTGTCATTCGGTGTACCACTTCCAGACGGAAATATCTCAGCAACTATTTGATAGATTGCCATGAAATGTTGTACAGACAATAAGGGTCCCCAGAGAATGAATCCGACTGACTTTGGTGAGCCGCTGACGAGATGAAACATGTTCTCATCAGCCTTAGCTAAATTAGCGAATATTGTCATGCTAATATGGGGATTAGTTTAACATGGAGACGTGGGGTAAAGTAATTATTACCAGGGATTTTAGTCCCATCTGAACGCGCCATGTCTGTAATCATTACGGATAATGTCAGTAAAAATTACGGCAACTTTACCTTCTGTAAAACGGTCCGGAGAAAATACCTCAGGTAATATTAATCCCGTGTGAACGCAATCCTCTGTAAAAATGTATGTAAATATTTCGTCACGTCCTTTTTACAACCATTTTTCCGCGTTTACAACTACTTTTCTGTGTTTTTTCGTTGATGGAGATGCTTGAAGAAGCATTCGGTGTTATCTGCAGTCGTGATAGTGGACATTCTTCTAATGATCGCATAGCCCTACATGGGAGACCAATCAAAAAGGTTGAGACGAAAGCACTGTTCAGAGCCACGAGACTTCTGGTTGTGTTAGGTAGGCCTAATATAAATCCATATTGCTAATCGTTGTGTACACACAATCCTGATCATGGGGAATATTTCATGTAAATGTAACACATACAAGAAGTAACGTAGCACGCACATGCCGACAGGGAGGTGACGCCAGGGCGCAAACCAAGTTACCACTCCCATCTCTGGTAGAATTATGTGGGATTTCTTGTCCCGTGTGAATCAGACATTTATATTACAGACATCCTGTGGTAAACTTACTTTAGTCCACATCCCCATGTAAAACTAATCCTGCCAGAATAGTAATTCATCATTATCATTCTAAAGACAATAAGCCTCTCTGAGTGAAGGCCAGTATTTTGGGAGATCTGATGTACCCAGCGGATATCCAAGCTAAGCCTTTTCTTTAAAGCGTTGGCCATTTTCATATGACAGCTAAATCTTTTAAAACGCTAACCCTAGATTGTCAGACGAAAGCCACTGGATCCCAAGACTGCATTTCAGTAGTCCATTACTTGGACTACAAACTGAAACCAGAATGCTTTTAGTACCAAAATCTTGTCCTGTTGCCTACAGATTCTGAACAGATTCTGCATACATATGCAGATATCTGTTTGTAGAGATAAGCCAAATACATCAAGTTATTATTATCATTGTGAGCACGTTAGCATGCTGACATTAGCATTTAGCTTAAAGCACTGCCAAAGGCCCACCCTAATACCACCTCACAGAGCCACCGACTCATGAATGTTCAAAGAGACCTAGATACAGGGTTGGATGCAGGACCCTGTTCATTACAATGAAAGTTGCTCAGTAGTGCATGACGCCAAAAACATTCACTTGTCACATATAGAATTACATGGATGATTGGCACTGCTTCTGCATCATTGGGCCCATAGAGCAGGTGCATTAGAGACTCCCACCAGCCAAGCCGGCTACTTATGGCTTAGTACTCTGCTAACTTGAATTGAAATAAAATTATTTCATTGTCTTTTAGACTTTCCAAATGTTATCAGACCGAACTGATGAAATTCTGATAGGGAAACGATGTTGAAAAAAATGTGTCCACTGATTTACAGACTTCTATTTTGCCAAGTAATTCAATAGGAAAAAGTCTTTTTGGGGCACATAGCATCACATGACAGATGTCTGGACACTAGGAAAAATGGCTTCAAAGTTTGGTGCACTTCCTGGGGTCCTGGCATGACTGTAGCCATTAAAGAGGAACACCACTTTTTTGTTTGTTTGTTTTTCTGTTCTTCCTTAGAGCCTAGTAACCATAAAAATTTCAGTTACTTCAGTTGTTCCACCATCTGCCATTTTCACAACTGGGGATACTAGCTGCAAAGAACTTACAATGATACTCATCAGTGACTGGAGATAGCTACCAACAAGAATGCTATCCTCTTCCTGTTATGGTTGCTCAGTGGTTGACTCACTTCCTTTGTGCCGTAAACTGAGCCTTCATTTTCCCAGGAGATCGTACCCAGTCGCAGACAGAACTGCACAGTGAAAGCAAGGCTTACAGAGAACCAATGTAAACACTGATAGTGGCATTCATCTATAGGAATTATACGTTAAAGCAAAAAAATGATCTATTTCTACATTAATATGTATGTTATCAAAACTTTTAAACTTCACAGCCAGTGGCAAAGGGAAATTGCCAACGCACATGTCTGGATTTATGTAACACATTTAAGGAGACTTTATCTTGGGTCAGTGCACCACCATTACACCTACAGTTCATACTCTTATCTATATGACCTCTGCATTAAAAGGCACCGTTTGCTCTTTTACAAGCCATTTACTGATGCTATTTAACACACAAGTTAAGTTGAGCGTGATGCAAGGAATGTAAAGGCTCAGTCTGGTGGTTCTCATACCTCATGATGCCCATTGTTTGCCTCTGTAATGGCAGACTGCGCTGACCAACATGCACACAACAGACCACATTACGTAACTGCATCATTGTCGGTGCAACGGGATAGAATGGATTTTTTCCTCTGGGCCTGCTCAGCTGGCTTTGAGTTAAGTTGAGCTGACAAGGCATGGACCCACCGGTCTGAGCTGTATATGTTGTTATGGTGTGTTAATGCTGTGTGGAGTGGCCTCTTTCTGCACATTCAGGCTGTGCTGCAGTGAAATCGATCCATTCATGGTGTTTCAGACTCTTTCCTGCTCCCACTCGTGCATCTTCTCGTTACATAACGTGTTTTCTAATTTCTCTTCTCTCCCACACACCCATCCCCTCTCTCCTGCATCACTTAGGTGCGCACGGCGATAGCCAGAGGGGACATGGTGACGGCGGAAATAGCCTCCCGCGAGGCACGCAACTTCTCCTTCATCAGCCTGGCTGTTGGCATCGCCTCCATTGTGTTGTGCACCATCCTCACCGTGGTAGTCATCATCGCCTCGCAGCACCACGACGACGACTGGGAGCCGTAACTCCACGCAGTGTCAAGACAGATGGGAAATCATGGCATATATTAGCTAGCTAACCACTCTCAATCGTTTTGGAGGAAATAGGAGCGATGAGAATGCAAACTGCTACTGCATTGCTGGACCTCTGCGTACAGCTACACCCACACACACACACACACACACACACACACACACAGACCATCAAACACACGACAAAAAAACACCAATCACAGCTGATGTTCAAACACCAAATGCAAGCAGCTGTCAAATGAGGCCCAGTATTGCTGTTAGCACAGCAACTGCTTAATATTTACACTCAGATATGAGCTGCAAAAGGGAAACAAAGCTCCCTGTATTAACAATTCATTTGACGCTGATTAATTTATACAGATGATGTAGTTAGATGAGAGGATAGGTCACTGTGTGTTCCAGTTTTAAATATTCCAGCAACTAAATTAAATGGGCCCACGCAGAGTTACTTTTAGGATAGTTAAATGCACATTTTAGTCATATAGGTACAAGTATACGTGTTTTATTCTTTAAAAACAAAAAAAGTGCCATGTTGAAACAGTGTTGATTTACAGAGTAGTATTATTGCTGACACACTCCGATAAGAGACTGTCAAACTGATTGAAAGTGTTAGAGGGAGTGATCAATACACATTTAACACACCAAATGGAGACTGGACTGACAGAGTGTCTGATGTAACCAAACAGTATTTATTTGAGATTGGTTGTTCATATGCTACGTGGACATTTTAGCCAAATGAGATGATACATAACTTGAGAATTATATGTTTGTTGATTTATTTAAAAACCTGTTATTTATTAAGTTATTCAATATCTACCCACGCATCGATTTGTCTGTTATAATTTAAAGTATATCACTAGTTTGTTGCAGCTATCTGACACTTTGAAATTGGCTTAAATTTGATATCTGATGATGACGCACTTTGTAGTAACCAGTCAAGCTGCTTACATTAATAGTTCTTATAGTGCATGATAAATATAAATTTTAAGCTCATGGGCGTCTAGTGCAATAATAGCTTGTCTCCCGGCTGTCGGTGGGAATATTTCCTGACATGTCTATAAGTGTGTGGTACAGTATTTTCCAAACAAAACAAGAAAGGGAGACAATTTAGATAAGTATTTGAATCTTAGGTTTGCAAATATTGTTTTTCGCAAGTATTTTAGAAGTGTATTGGCCTATTTTGTGTTGCACATCTCTTAACTATTTAATCTCTCAGACACTGTGTGTGAAACTTTAGTGCAACTTTATGAGGCAACATAACCCTGCATGTCATCCTCAGTTGGTTTCCATTCGTCTCAAATATCGAGGCTAGACGTGCGGTTGTGAGCTCCTATAATGTTGTTTCACTGTTGTAACACAATAAGTCGGGGTTCAACACATATGAGTATGGTCTCCATAATGTAGCAGCAGGTGTGCTGTTGTTTGTAAGCGCCAACATGGCTGTATAGCGTTACTGTATGAACTGTTATGTGAGGTATTATGGGAGGAACTGGACATGAATGTTTTCCAAAAGGAGAGAGAGAGAATATTAATGCCTATACTGTATTGTAGCACTTTCCGCTCTATGAAATCTTTCCTCTGGTCTCTTTCCTCTCTCTCTGTTTGTCTTTCTCCTGTCCACATGAGTTATTGGACCTATAAATATTTCCCCTCTGCGTCCCCCTTTTTCCTCTGTTGGTTCCTATGATGATGCTATTTTTAAAAGAAATATACAGAGATATTAAAAATTATGTTTGTTGATGATGAACACAAATAGAAGCAGTATAAATACAGTTTATTCTGTAGTTTATATATTATTGTTCTTATTATTAATATTATTATTGGCATTGCATTGCATTTGATTATCACTAATGTATAATCTTAAGTACATCTGGGCATGTATTTATCAAATGTCTGAAACTCCACTTAATAGAGAGGCACAGTCCCCCATGTGAACAATTTAGGAGATTATTTTTCTAGTCAAGAATGTTCCAGTTTGTTGTAAAACTGTGTAGTTTAGCGTGAAACCACTCAGTGAACTACATCTCTCATCTCACATGATATACGTCACCTACACTGGCTACCTAGCCAGGTAACTTAGCTATGTTCCCCACACAAATCTGGTGGTATCTTATCGGATGTGTTTCCTGTTTCTCGTAGGAGTACATCCTGGCACGAAACACACAGGCATCGTAGCTTCAGCGAGAGAGGAAATATGACGTCACCTACGTATTTTCACAGTCTTATACTACCACAGTTATATGACAAACTCTTGACTTGCAAAACTTTCTTTTAAATGGACAAACATCATATGAAAAATTATTTGTCTCTCCCCAATGACTACCCAACAAGTTTATTCTAAAATAAGGTCCCATGGTTGTCCGCAGGAAGGCAAGGGACTTTGCCTCTCTATAATTCTCCCAAGAGCCAACTCAGTAGTGAAAAGGTTTTAAAAAGATATTTATCAAGTGATGTCCTCCGATAGAGTGGTGCTGGAATGAGTCCAAATGAATGAGTCAGAATTTTAGCACTCCTGGTTCCCGCCAATGGGTTTTTGGTTAGATGGCTGAAAAGATGTCTGTGGTTAACACAAGCATAACAGACTTTGACATTTTGTTCTGGGACATACAATACATCAGTAAATACCCCACACTCATAAATTCTGAACTTTTCATGTGATTTAAAAAAGACATTTACTAACAAATGGCTAAATGAGACTACAGAATGTCATCAGCCTCGTCCATGTGAACAAAACATCTAAGTCTCATAAATGTGTGCAACAGAGCTTATTTTCTGCAATAATTGAAAAGCCAATGGAAAAATCCCATAGAATTTTTGTTGAGGGAACCAGGGTCGAGCTACCTTTTGGGTCATGGTTACCATGTTTAAGAAAAGAATCCATATGAATATCCCCCCTACTCTGGCATTCACAACCTCGTTAGTGTAAATTTTCTGGGAGCTCTAACTTCACGACTTTCTATGTCATAAACACGACGTCATGAGTTCCATTTGAACGCAACATATGTCTCAGAAGGTGTGTGATCACCTCTGTTTCTGCTATTAATCCATTTAACTATTTTAATTTAAGTAATAAGAATACATAGCTGTCATTCTTGAAGCAATAGTTTGACTTTTTGGGAAACATACTCATTCACTTTCTCGCAGAAAGTTCGATGAACAGATCGATAGCACTGCGCTAAATATGAAGCTACAGCCAGGAGATGTTAGCTTAGCGTAGCAACAGCGTCACCTCTAAAATGTTGTTGATACACTTCAGTCCATCGACCTCCTCAACAAACTCTGGGCAAGAAAGTGTGACTAAGCTTCCCAAAATGTCAAACTGTGTTTTTTAAGTTAGTGACTTACAGCTGTTTGATAAATACAGGCCCTGTCCTTACATGATTGACTTAGTGATATTTCAGTGTTAAAAGAGCAAAAGAAGCACAGTCTTGTTTAGTATTATTATTGTACAGAGGGCTCTGGCAGTGAGTGTGTGTCTACTGAATAGAGTCACTAGCATATCTAGTTTATACAGCGCTAGGCTTCATCTCCCTGTGTGCTCTCCGAAGGGGCTTTTCTGTGCTCAGCAACATATAGCTGTTTACCACACAGCTGGGAGATGTGTTCTTCATTTTCATTTGTTTTGTTTTGTTTAGTTTTTGAGCTTGTAAATGCAACGGGTTGCTTGTTTAAAAGAGCCAAAAATTACCTGTGTACATGTGGTTCTCTTGGGGTTTATTATTCTAATTGCGTTCATGGCTGTGTTGCACATGCGTTGGTTGTTTCTGACTTCAGTTGTTTGAGTAATGAATAAAAGAATCATTTTTGGGTTGTGAGCGATACTTTGGCGGAGGTGGCGTCGCATTCTTTGGGTCTGTTTTTTCCCTCCTGGTGTCTCTCCATCCTCTCCGTGTCTCTCCATCTTCTGTGTCTCTGTGGCCTTTCCTCTCTCCCCTCATCACTAAGGTGCTATTTATAGCTGCCCCGGTTTTCTCCCTCTCCGTCTCTCATTTTCCTCCCTCTGTCAGAACATGAACTACAGTATTGCTCACTATCTTCTCTTGTATCACATTGTGTTTTACAGCTGATTATTTTTCAACATTGTGGTGGCGATTGTTTTTTATGAACCCAATGCTAGCGTTGTGGGACAACAATGTCGGTCTGCCAGTTGGTCAGCCCATCACTTTGGCCCTGACAAAAATATCTCAACAACAGTTGGATGGATTGCCATGAAATTTTGTACAGACAACATTAACAAATCATCACCGTTGAAGCTGATGTGGGGAACTTGTTAGCAAACAACCCATTCGCAAGAATAAATGTTGGCATTGTACATTTCTGCAAACCATGGAAACGTTATGTGTGGTTAGGTTTAGGCACAAAAACCACTTGATTATAGTGAGGAAAATATGTTCTGCCTTAAAGTACCGTTTCGATGGCACGATTCGTGCTGAAAACATAGCGAAGTCTTGGTAAAAAGAACAATTGCTTTTGATGGCACTATCCCCGGAGAAAACACAGTGATGTCTAGGCCAAAATAAACCAACCAGTTTGTGGCACAATTGCCAGAGGAAACCCAGTGATGTCTCAGTAAAAAAAGCACAACCCTTTTTTGTGGCACTATCCTCACTGGAAACACTTCTCTGTAAAAAACAACTGGTTTTCATGGTACCATCCTGGCTGAAAACGCAATGACGGGTTGCTTACACCCCACCCTTTGGGAGCCCAATGGGGCGAACAACACTTCACCACTGACCCAAATCAACCACATAAGACACCTTTAAAACAATCAAATCCATGGGATATGGATGTAAGATAAAGAGAAGACATACAAAAAAGACATTAGAGTATCAGGCTGAGAGGCAGTAAGACCAGCAGTCCCCACACCAGAGACGTCTCTCTGTTGCTGCTAGTGGCATAGGAGCACCTCCTTTCCAGGCAAGATGCACCCTGCAAAGCAATGCGCCTCGTGAGGCAATGCAGCACACCTGGGAAAAGCTACAGGACAGGGAAAAGGGACAGCATCACAGGAACACATACAGCCGTAACAAGTTGCTATGCTGGAAATGCTGCAATGACTTGCTGTTGTTTGTTGGTCTTGAACAGCGTGGCAGGCATCTTGCCTTGAGGTGACTCAATGCCCAATCCCCCAACTCCAGATGACAAAATTAGCTCATATACAACATCACTTTAGAAACATCAATATGATATGTATGGAACATACGAATGTAATGTAACTGTGGTTTGCAGAAACAGTCAATACCAACATTTTTCTTCAGGTAACTGGGCTTTTATGGCCACCTGAGGAATGTAAGTCTACTATTCACTCTCTTTTATCTCTGTTTTAGTCTCCTCCAACTCCTTAGGGAAATATCTGGCTCTTTTAGCTGTGATATAGAGTATAGAGGGTTTTTTAGGGCAGGTGAAAATGCACCAAAACAGTAATGTTGTGGGCTGACAGCTTAACAATGAGCTGAAACTTTGTAAAGCACTGTAAAGCTGAGGAGGCCGCAGAATCAGGTTAGAAAATTTTGTAGGTTCATCACTATCATATTGTTTTATCCACTTGAAGTCATATCTGTGAAAAGGTACGGCCTCAAACAATCCAGCCAATGGAAAAGAAGTGTGAGTGAAAAACTAAAGGTGGGAGCTGAGCCAGTCTGTGTGTGCAGGATCACAGATGGCCATTTAGCCTCCTGAGGACAGCCAGCGTCTCTGAGATCATTTAACTTGGCCTCACGCTCCACGCCTCTCTCCTCCATCACACAATCCCAGCTTCCCCCAGGTCAGCCACGCCGGCTGTCTCGCTGTGTGTGTTTGTGTCATCCTGCAGCTCTCTCGCTGGGCTGTCATCTCAGCCACAGCACCAGGACTGATGGGTAATGGCTGGTAATATGTGAGAAACACAGCATCCTGCACACACATGGATAACTAATCCACCTACACACATAAATCCAAAGGTGTGAGAACACAAACACAAACACAAACACGCTCGGTTCTGTTCTGTTGCTGCTGACATTTGAGGTAATATAGCCGAGAAACTAAAGCCAATGATTCGTGTTAACCGTCTTTCAGCATCATTACACAGCTGCATCAAGGGGAATCTCTTTCTTTCCCTTCATGCTTCCATTGTCTTTGTCTACACATCACATGTCAATCCTCCAAGCAGTGGTGGAACATGTATTAAGTAAAAGAACCAATACAACAATGTATACTCCATTACAAGTCCTACATTCAAACCTCGGTGATGGAATTTAAAGGGACAGTTCACCCCAAAATCAAAACACATATTTTTCCTCTTCCCTGTGCTGCTATTTATCAGTCTAGATTGTTTTGGTGTGAGTTGTTTAATTTTGGAGATATCGGTTTGCCTTAACAGAACCAGCTCGCACTGAGCTTGTGGTGCTCTAAACGCCAAAAAATACATTTGAAAAACCCAACAACAACTAAACTACTCCTGCCAACTATATCACTATGCAGAAGGAAGCATACAACATGACAGCACAAGACGTAAACATTAATGGTGTCTTCCTCGCCATCAGTTGGTGGGTGTAGTTCAGTAGGAAGAAAATAGTTCCTCCATTTTATCTTGAGTAACCAGGTCATGATTTCTGGAAAGAGACATTGCTGTTCAGTTTTTTATTTGTATTTTTTGGCACTTTGAGCACCAAAAGCTGAGTGCCATCTAGTTCAATTACATTCAAGAGATTGCAGACATCTCTACGCCAATATCTCCAACACTCAGCAACTCACACCAAAATAATCTAGATTGATAAAAGCACTTTTCATCCTTAAAGTATATATTATTTTTTACATTGTGGTATTTCTTATTTTACTGGACTAAAATGTGAATACTTCTTCTACCCCTGTCAAACTCTCACTTACGTAAAGAAAGGAGGTGTCAAAATGTACTTAAGAGTATCAAAAGTAAAAGTACTATGGCTCCTGTCACTAAAGGAGTAGCATCCAACCTTAGGTATTGCTATGTCCTAAAGGTTACACAATAAATTTGAGGGCTCGTGAGATAATAAATGGTGTTGGAATACAGAAGGAACAAAGTTCTGCTACATAAATCTGTGTTAATATTTTGGACTATTTTGGACTTTTCTCAAATCTTTGCTTTTTCTGTGACAAAGACCTCTTTGAGCCTCAAACTGTTATTGAAATGAAACCATGTGAAAGGGGAAACAGTGGTAGAACTGTTGGCAACTCACAGACATTTAACATGTGACAAGAGGCGCAGTCTAGACACAGATTTTTGGTAAAAGGTCAAAATCCCCCCAAATCAGAAACCGCTACTTTAATATTTAACAATATGTTGTATTTTAGAAAGTTATCATACATTTTAATGTAAAATCTTGATATGAAGAGTACCTTGTAACTATAGATGTCAGTAGCATAAACTGGAAATACTCAAGTAAAGTGCACCTCAAAATTGTACCGAAGTACAGAAATTGAGAAAATATACTTTTACTTTTACTTACTTTAAATATACTTTCCACCACTGCCTTCAGTTCCACCATGAAGAGAAATACTGCTGAATCTACTGCAAATCAAATCACAAGAATCTACATTTATTATTTGTGCAAATAACTTATACAGCAGTAACTAAGGCCGTGACTGTGCATAAGAGTGCAAATATTGTTTTACAGCAGCCAGATCATACAGCGTTTGACAGGGTGCAGACATTGTTGGGACCGAATGGACGAAACAAAGAGTTGGCATGGAAACAACAACAGAGGTTTACAGCAGCTGCAGGCTGGAGACTTAAAGTGTGAAGCTCCAAAGAGGTTCCTCATTCAATCAAAATGTCCTTGAACGAGTAACATAATCCATGTTTGCTCCAGATGAAATGCCCCTACATGTCAGTTTGTCTTTTTAGGAGCATGGGTGCAAAGCAGGACTCTGCTATAGAAGGATCTTCTTTTTGATGTACTGGCAGAGGCACAGAGGGGCGGTGGTGCAGTGGTTCCTCCGGGGGGGTGGGTGGTGGTGTGGCGGTCCTGACAGCCTCTCAGACACCAGCAGCTTCACATAGGCTGCACTGTAGGTCATCAGAAGCTGGTAGGCTTTAGCCTGTAAAGAAGGATAATAACACTCAGGAGTTGTGTTGACCTACTTTCACCTCGAGAATGCAAAGAGGTGAAGAAATGATCATTTTTGAGGGTGAAGTATTACTTTAAAAGCATTAATTGAAAAAAAAAATTACATTTTTGTGTGTATATGAGTGAACATATATTGCTTATTCTGATGTGTAATAAAACAACACTGCTGATATATTGGCCAGGCTCTAAAATATATTCCCTCTGTGTGGGAATGAAGATGTTTTGCAGCATTATGTCACTTTACCTGAGCAGGTAACGATGCATCAGGGATGAGGGTGTAGTTAGTGGTGACTTTGGCGCCCTTCTGCTGGCTGGATGAGGTACTGCAACCCGTGTCCTCATGTCTCAGTAGAGGCCTCTGCTCATCTGAGTCCTGCTCCACATCTGACTCAGCAACCTCGGGGTCTACAGCCGTGTCCTCGGCCACAAGGACGAGATGTGACATTTTCTTCTTCAGTTTGTTCTGCGAACGTGTAACAATGATTCTTTTAAACTGCTGTGAACACTGAAGCTATGAAATGTCATGCCACAGTTCAAGGACTAAACTTCTGTTTTCCAGAGGATATAGAAATAAAATACCCTTTCAACAGCAGCTAGAATTATGTTTCTATTGATTTTTGAGGGAAGACTAACATGGGACCGCAAGAAAAAAATCGATACAGCAGCAGGAGAACAAACAGAGGGACAGATGTACTCGATTCACTCACCTGGGTGTCATTTGCCACAAAACTGCTCTCCTCTAAAGTTTCAGTCAGTGCCCTCAGACAGCGGGACATGTCCCAGTACACAAAGTACAGCTGCAGGGAGACAAATACAACAGCATTGGTGGCTTCCAAAGCAAAACTATTCAATTTGTTGTTCATTACTGATGCACCAGCCTGGTTCCAGACCATTAAATCAACACCCACATCTCAAATGTTGGCAAGTTTCAGCGTTTCTATTGATCAGTGTAGCTCTGTACTCCTACATGATTTGTGAAGATGCATTGGAGTACAAGCCACATATGGTATTATATCGTTTGTGTATCTTTGCAGTGTTTTTATTCTTTCTTTGTCTTTTGCTACTGACCTCCAAATTTTTCTGTAAATATAATCATTCTTTCTACTACTTTGGGTATGTATATTAGGCTTTTTATGTCATATCACAAGTAAAATAGACCTAATCCCTGGATTCTTTCTGGACAGATCATGAAGATGAATTTTGTACTGTTTTGTGAGCAAATCCACACCGTTCCAGTGTTTTCTTGTTACCAACCCTTTGGTCAATAAAACTTATTGTAAATTTAAGAAATCTACTGATTGGTTCATCTTCACAAACTCATTTTCTCATTGTTGTGTTTTTGTGCCTGCTGAAATGTTTTGTCATCTTGTTGCATCATTAATAACAGTTTTGTTGTATCATTCTTCTGTCTTCTTGTTTCACTCCTCTCAGTGCCATATAGCTCTCCAAATCAACTGCTTGTTTAATCATTATGTTGTTTTCCTTGACATGCTGTTGTGTTGTTTCCAAGACATCAGGGAGACCAACAGAAAAAGATGAAACTAAGAAATGAGGCATGCTAAACAGCTGTGTATATCAGCCTAACAACAATAGACATGAACACATGTATTGCACAAAGATGTCAGTACACTTCTGGCACATCTCACAGTTTCAGCTGATTTTATAAAGACAACCTGCATGTTTCCAGTGCAGGACTGCACCCAGTCGGCCACGGCCACTAGAAGTTTGTGTTTCACCATCCTCTCGTTCACCTGGATTAACCGAACGTCTAAGTTCATGTTGATCTGACACAGAAACAGACAAACATGTTTGAGAATCAGTTAGTTCTCATTTCATGTTCAGGTTAAAGACAAAAAACAACAACCTTAAGATGAATCCAAACTCAGGTGGAAGACCATAATAATTAATTTATGGTATCAGATGCCCCTCTTTACCTCCTTGTTACTGTAGTGGAGGACGAAGATGATGGCAGTGGTGAGGAAGATGGAGACCAGGCTGACAGAGAGGCAAAGAACCCAGTAGTCACTGACAGTGATGTAGAGGTGGAGGGTGGAGAACACAGCACACCACACCACCACATACAGCACCTAGTGGAGGGAGAGGAGAAGTTGTAAGTAATGTTTGGTGTCTTGTCGAGACTTAGATGGATGATATCAATCTAGTAGTCGCTGAGTGTAAAGACTGAAAGCAGGGGGGAAACAGCTGGCCTGGCTCTGAAGGACATAGATATGCCTCTAGGCACCTCTAAATATCACTAATTAATGCCTTATATCTTTTTGTTTCTTTTCGCCAAGACACATTAAACATTACATTTTTTGTTTTGTTTGTGTATGGATTAAAGAAACAAGATTTAATGTGGACATTAATTAGCTTTAGAGGTGCCTCTTTGGACAAAGCCAGACTAACTTCTTCCCTTTTCCTCCACTCTTAATGCTAAGCAAAGCTAATTGCCTCCTAGCTCCAGCTCTGTAAAGCAAATGTGGTAAAAATGGCAGTTAAAGAAATCAATTAGTCATGCCATGTTACCTCTAATTCATAAAGAAAACCTTGTTTTTTCGCATGATTCCATGGAAAATAGCTAACATATTGAATTATTGATGGATTGGGGACCTCAGGGACCACATTTAACAACAGCAAGACTATCTAAAATCATGCTTTTACAAATTCTCACACAACACGCGCAGTATAATTGCGTGTTGTTTATCCAGTCCTAAGCTTAATACCTCCCAAACATATTCATTTTGTTATCATAAACATTATCATTTAAAAAATAGAAGGGAAACTTATCGGTGCTCTCTTTGACACCAGACTCCAATACTACAGTTTTTTTTTCTTTTTAGGTAAAATGCATGTGTTCAGGAAGTACTGAGACTTGGATTATACTGTTCAAGTTGTGTGAGAGTTTGTAAACGGATGTTTTTAATATAGTTTTGCCTTAATCATTCAGTGAATCAATGTCTGTGCCATCTGTGGAGGCATGTGAGGCAAACAAAGTATTTTAATTCAAGGTAACACAGCATGAGTAATGGAGCTACAAATGATAGTTTTGTGGGTGAGGTATTCCTATAAATTGAAACAACCCATAAGTCACAGGCTGTTAACAGCTAACAGCAGTATACAGTAAGGGCTGTGTTGTCCGAGGTGATTATTTATGGCATCCTTGACTCCTAGAATTTGAGCAATTTCACTGTACTAGTTACAGTAAAGATCATATGAGCAATCTTAAAGGGGCATTCCCATGATTTTAGATATCATGGACAGCTAACTGATCAAGTGGCATATTACCCAGCCTCTGAAAACAGTATATCTACTAAAGTCAAGGAAAATATGCCTGGACGAAACATCTGTCTAAGACTTCAATATTTCAACAGATAGCCTGTATTACTAACTGAGGGAATAGAGTTTGAAAGAGTCCAATGAAAGAGCTATTATGGAAACTGCAGGATTTTTGCAGATTGACTCCAGAATAAAATGCTGAATATTTTGGCCTCTTTGAACATTCTTCTTTTGCATCTGTCTCTCGTAGGTTTCCAAACTATATTAAAGTGTAATACTACATTACTGCTCATTTGAGGCAAACCAAAAACAGAAAAAAGTATAAAAACATGAGGAAATGAAAGAAAAGTAGTGAGAGCATTAAAACAGCAGAAGAATGAGGAGCAAAGGATATGATAAGAGTAAATTCTCAGTAAGACAGAAAGCTGGATGACATACTGGTGCCAATATAAAATGGAAGATAGCTGAGTTGAAAACCATGTATCTCCTGACTGAGGGAACGTCCAGGGCCGTCTTCAGTGGAGCCTCCATGTCTCTGACTGGAATCTAAAAACATGAAACAAATTCACAACCTTAATTAACCAGGGAATAAAGTAAAGATATCTGAAGTTTTCAGTGCCACAGTAGGTCATATACTGTATGTGTGCATGTGTGTGTGTGTGCTGACCTGAAAGCCATTATTTTCCAGTTTGGCCCGGCACAGAGACAGATCAAAGCTCGGGCTGAGCACTGAACAACTCGGCACTGCCACAACACACTGACCTGGGTGCAATCAAGAGAGAGAGAAAGAAAGCCAGACAGGATCAGTATTACATAAATGCTAAAAAATAAAAGTGTGACAAGAACCTGTGCCTGTGCAATTGTCTGCAAAGAAGGAAACAGAGGTATGAAATAAAAACTAAAAGCAACACTGTAGTGTATGGCAGCAGTAAAAAGTGGATGTGCTATCAAACATACACAAAACACAAAAGCAGAGCTGTCAAATATACATAAATAACCGACCTAATGTGGGCCAGACAGTAACAACTTATACTGTGCAACCAAATATTATTTGAACCTACAGAACTTTGCTTTAAATTCTTGTTGAGATCCTAAAGTTAAGCTGTATTTGGAGTAATGTGCATAAAATGATGCCCAAGACTTTTGATACATAACTTCAAGGGAGAGCTAGAATAAAGCTGATACAGATTTTATATATGATACTTCCAGACAGTCTGGATCAACATGATTGCACCAGTCTTAAAGCTGATGTTATGGTTAATACATGTTGATAAGAAGTGTCGGTACAGAATACAGTAGAGTCATTCATGAAATATTCTAAAATGAGAGCACTGATTTGTTACACTTTAGCGACACAGACTAAAAGATTCCTGCAACAAGCACTGCAGGGCAAAGGTTTATGAGGCAACACAGCTGTAACAATAGTAGTGTGACTTTAGCGTGACTGGGATTTTGGACACATATTTAATACTTTACTTTGGTTTTCAAAACAATGTCAGGATTTATTCAGGGTGAAAGTGAAAGTTAGAAAGATTCAGTGAAGTCTTATGATCTAATAAGCACTGTTATCTTTGTACATGACTATCTGGACAAAGGTTACCTGCAGTATGAATATTACAAAGTTCCATTTATGCCTTATCTAGACTAACTTATATAACTTATAACTTATCTTTAATGGTGGACTGGCCCATTTGTGGCACACGCTAAACAATATTCTTCAACATGAATATGTCCATGTAGATGAAATAAATTGTGATACAGTGTAGTCATTAGTGTTGAAACAAAAGTGCTACACTGTATGTGTGCTATGAAAGTACGAACACTTTATATGACAACAGCATTTTGCCACAAATGGAACACCGTATTGTCTATCAGTACCATTAAATAGAAAAATATGTAGGGTATACACCAATTAGCCAAAACATTAAAACCATTGGTGGGTGAAGTGAATAACACCGATCATCTTGTTACAGTGCAATGTTCCATTGGGAAACCTTTGGTCCTGGCATTCATGTGGATGCTACTTGACGCACTCCAATCACCGAAACACCATTGCAGACAAAATAACGTAACAGCACTTGTCAATAACTGTGCCCCCCCCAGCAGGACAATGCACCATGCCACACTACAAAAACGTGTGTTATAGTGTCTGGCACCAGGGCGTTAACTTCAGATCTTTTGATTCCTTTGGGTTACAAGCACGTCCCAAAGATGTTTGATCAGATGGGGATTTGGGGTATTTCGAGGCCAGGTCGATGCCTTGAGCTCTTTGTCACCTTCCTCGGGCCACTCCCGAGCAGTTTTTGTGGTGTGGCATAACGCATTGTCCTGATAGGGGGCCACTGTGACTGGGGAGTATCGCTGCCATAAGGGGTGTACCTGTTCTGCACTGGTGTTCAGATGGGTGGAGCATGTCAGGTGGCAACTACAAGAATGTCAGAGCCCAAGGTTTCCAAACAGAACATTGCATTGTAACAAGATGATCAGTGCTGTTCACCTCACCTGTCAATGTTTTTTTTGTTTTTTTAAGATATTTTTGGGGCGTTTTAGCCTTTAATTGATAGGACAGCTTAAGCGTGAAGGGGGGAAGAGAGAGGGAAGGACATGCAGCAAAGGGCCACAGGCTGGAGTCAAACCCGGGCCGCTGCGGCAACAGCCTTGTACATGGGGTGCCTGCTCTATCCACTAAACCACCGACGCCCCACCTGTCAATGGTTTTAATGTTTTGGCTGATCGGTGTATGTATTAGTAAACTAGCTCTGATCAACTCATAAACAGGATGCTGATTTCAAGATTCTGCTTCTCACCTTTAAGGTCCTTCACAATCAAGCCCCTTTTCCTTCATATCTACACACCCTCCCATACTCTTAGATCCTCACCTGCAACTCATATCACCATCTGCCTGCTTGACTGCCATGGGATCTAGAGCCCTCAGCCCATTTGAATTGTTTGACTTTATGGTCAATAAACATATTGCTGCTTGTTTTTTTAACTGTCTTGTAAGGTGTCCTTCAGTGCTTGAAAGGTGGCTATAAATAAAATGCATCATTATTATTATTTTACCAAATAAAAACAAATAAAGTAGCAGCCGATTACCGTTTGACCAGTTAGGCCTGTTGTTGTCGGCCTGCTGCAGCTGAGCTTTGGTTTGTCTGATCTGCACATCCACCTCACTCTCCTCCATCACTTGACAAACTCCGTTCTTGTCCTCCATCATCTGAGAGGTCACTCCATCCTGAAGAAGAAAGAGGACATGAGGCAACCTGAGAATGACCTCACCAACACTGACCGGAGGAAACAGCCACTGTCTTACCAAGAACAGGGACATTTTCCAATGTCCTAAGAATTTCTGAAAGATTGAAATTGCAAAAGTTCCTCAGAACCCTAAGATCCCGAAACCTTTGTTCAAAAATCGCTGAAGGGTTCATTTCAAGTCATGCCAAAAGAGGATCTGGTGGTTTCATTTGTCACCAGTCATGCACAACTAAGCAGTTACAAACAAAAGAGTCACAAAAGAAAGGATTGCAACAGAAGTCATGACCCAGACCCTGCAGGTGTGACAAAATAACACCATGATATTACCATTCATGTGACTATGACTGAAACAGGCAGCTGATTATTCAAGAGCAAAGCTGTTGTGTAAGAATATGGAGGAACTTTTCGAAGCAGCATATCCCATCATGTAAGATAAATTAGTAGTATTCATTAGAGGTGTTTCCTACCGCAGTGATTCCCAACCACAGGCACACCTCAGGGGGTAGGGAACATATTAGAATCACGTCTTTGAGTGTAGGCATACGTGAAAACTAGCTCATGTTACCACGTGAGCAGAGAAGTTAAAGTAATTCGTTAAAAGTAATGGATAAATGGTTGAAATAGTTGAAATAATGATTAAGGACTTGGGAAAAAAAAAATAAAAGTAAGGATAAACACCGCGAAATAACCACGAACACACCGGCAGGTCAGATGGCATACATTTTATTTCAACTATAAGTTGCTATAATCGCTAATTTATATTGATTTTAAAATGCCTACAAAAAATCTTTTACAAAACAGTTAATGTTAAGTTATGCATGTAATGCTAGCATCTGCCATCCAACTGCTGTTAGCTACTTAACCATTAGCTAACGGTTTACAGTATCCTGTAACAAAATGGTTGTAACGGACTTGTAGCAGAATAGACAGCAGTTAAGTGACAGTATCTTCCCTATAGCTGGCTTTCAACTCAAATATTACAGTAAAATATGTGTTATTTAATTTTGAAAACACATTGAGGACAGCTAAAAGAGAAACATTGATGGCTAACGTTAAAGGTTGTATTTAGGATAGCTAAAAAGTAAGCCCTCTCACTCTGAGCCGAAACCTGACATAATGTTAGCTTGTTGTTTTTGCAGAAAGCTTGTAAATTAATGTAAACCTCCTAACTTAAAGCCATATAGCTAACTTTGGGAACTTAAAGATACTATATAAAGTAGCCTACACCTTTAGTTAGATAACACTTCTAGGCACAGTGGGACATGATGGGAAGATAAGGCAAAAATGTATCACGAGCAGTTAAGATGTTGTTGTTCTACTTTTTTAAAGAAATTTCCCCAGCACTGGTGCCGAGTCTCCTGTGCACGCTATAGGTGAAATAATGGTGCTGGTCAACTATACTTTTAAGCCTTTATTAGGTCTTGCATTGAGTGTGTGTATGTGTGTGTTGTGCAGGAAGTTACAGCGAATCAAGAAAACTAGGGAAGACGTCCAACAGAATATATGTGAATTTCAGGAAACTAATCTTCAGCTACGTAATCTATGGAAGCTGGTGTACCTATTAAAGTGCAATGACATATTAAATTGAAAAAAAAAAAACCCACATCACACAAACTTTTAAATGTGATAACAGTGTTCTAAAGTCCGTCTTGTTTTTGTAGCATGGAGGTTGAAGGCAAACTTGAGGGACTGATGGTGCAACTTGAGAATCTGAATGCTATAAGTTTGTCAGTTTGATATAAAAAGTTTTCCCCACATCTTTAAAACAGAATGATTAGATTGTGACTCATTGTTGATATTATTTATGACTGTCATCATTTAAATTGATACCTAGACTCTAGAAAGCCCCCCAGATGAAATGGAGTTTGCTAAGAATATAAAACATCGGCTGTTATAAGTTGGTAAGCACCTTCTCATAATGTTTTCCCATTCTTCTGCAAGTAGTAAAACATTTATTGTTGTACTTGCATGAATAAAGTGTTTTTGTTTCCATGTCCAACCCCTTTTGATCTGGTCTTGTTCTCGGGATGCTTACAGAACAAATAAAGTTGGCTTTCATGCGCATCAAAGATCAGATTTAATTGTCATTTACACTGTTTATACACATATTCATAGTGAAACTAATTTTTTTTTAAATTAATTCTAATTAGTTTTATTGGGGGTGGCACGGTGGTGTGGTGGTTAGCACTGTCGCCTTGCAGCAAGAGGGTTCCTGGTTGAAACCCGGGTGTGGGAGCCCCTCTGTGCAGTTTGCATGTTCTCCCCGGGTCAGCGTGGGTGTTCTCTGGGTACTCCGGCTTCCTCCCACAGTCCAAAGACAAGCAGGTTAATTGGTGACTCTAAACTGTCCGTAGGTGTGAATGTGAATGTGAATGGTTGTCTATCTATCTATGTTACTCCTGTGATAGTCTGGCGACCTGTCCAGGGTGTACCCTGCATCTCGCCCAATGTCAGCTGGGATAGGCTCCAGCCCCCCCGCGACCATCAAGAGGATAAGTGGTTAGAAAATGGATGGATGGATGGATAGTTTTATTGGCTTTTTTTGTTTTGTTTGAAATAAAGTACAATGATGTGCATACAAATGTGATATTCCTATGGTCTACTTAAAATATGGATTACCCCTGAAATAGTTAGCCAAAAGTAAGAATTAAAGGTTAACATAGTTAGCTAAAGGTGACATATAAGCAGTAAATAGTAAGCTAATAGTAGGTAGTTCTGTTGTATTAAAAAAAGACTGTCACTGTACCTTCTTTTATGTGAATAAAGTGTTCATTTAAAATAATAACATTTAGTGTATACTCCATTTAAAGATCCATAGAGAATGATGCCGATGAGGGGTACTTGAGCTATAACGTGAAAGATTGTCCTAACAGACAGGTTTGCTTGTCATTCTCAGAACAAGCACAACAGCCAAGCCAGAGTGTTATCTCTTTCTAAAAAGTCGGTCAGAAAAACCACAGCCTTTATCTCTGACAAACATGTCCACAGTTTATTTAAAGAAAGGCAAATACTGTAGGTCTCAAAACCTGAAGGAAACCAGCTCACTTCTGCTTTCAGGGCTGATGGCCTGTACTGCAGTGACATGGTGATGATGTTATCTGCTGGCAAATAACAGGCTATATTATATATTACGCATTTATTGTATAGATTCAGTTTAGAGGAGTAGAATTAAGTAAATTTTCATTTTTATGAGCCCTTAGGGTTGCCGATATCTGCACCGCCTTTAGATTAGATGTCCAGAATGTCACATTGTATCATTGGAGCGTAGCTCAGTCTGTTAAGAGAGGATAAGAGGTATTTTTATCTCTACTCTGCACCTCAACAACACACGTTTCGTGATAGAACTTAAAAAATACTACTTACAGTCAAACCCAGCTCCCTCTGGGTCTCTTTATATCACATACTCTCGCTTGCATGCTTGTGACGGAGCCACATTTTAGCACTGAGGTGTGAAAACTCATTGCTGCAGTTGTGCTATGACTTCACCCCCTCAGTCAAACCTTTTTCCCAGCCCTCTCTTTCTTTACACACACAGGCCTCCTCTCTGATTTTATCTACACTCTTAATTTCACTTCCTTGCATGTAAATAAAGTCACACAGCATTCAGGACAATTTATCACTGTCTGCTTACACTGCACCTGCTCAAGAGAGAAAATATATCATTCACATACATGCAGCAGTGTTTCTCCACTACATAGAGGAAACAGCATAGATGTCTTGAGCTCATGAGTAAACACTCAACTCAGTCTCTTATCTTAATGTTGCATCTTGTCCGTTTTCACACCCGAGTGTGCTGAACCTGAACACTTGTTTCTAACTAGGAAGCAAGTCCTGCAGAAAAATTTGTGTTAAACTTTTGCACATTGAGCAGGGATGCCATACTTACACTAAATAATCTCCAAAAACTTAAAATCTTAATGCAACTAAAAGCTCTCATCTGATATTCAGGTGAGTATAGAAAAAAGGAGAAGCCATGTCACATTTTGTTGTGTACAAATGATGATTTAAAAAGCTTGTATTTTTCTATGGATACCCAGCATGTTTCAGTTGAGTTGCCCACCTCTGAGACTGTGAGGTAATGAAACCAAAACCACCTTAGATAAAACTAAGTCCATATTTTATATGATCAAACACATCTTACCTGCATTTTAGATGAAAGTCCATCACGTCAACAAAGCTGTGATGATTGTATTCCCTTCTCGGTCCACATGGTAAATCCTTTGAAAGCAGCAATATATATGTCTGGATGCACAAACAGACTGTGGCGTATGTTACTTTCACACTCAGATGTGTCTCAACAGAGTTTCTCTCTCTCTTTCTCTCTCTCTCTTAGCGTGTGACTCAGATCAGCTTGGCCTCATGACTACAGGAATGTGGTTTGTGGCTCTCAGTATGAAGGTGAACAGGCGTTGGTATAAGCAGATGATGATTAAACCAATTGAAAGCCTATTCAAGCGTCATTTTTAGGGCGGTACCTTTTACACTGTGTTGTTGTGACACAGACTAAAGTCTGTATTTTACTGGCATTTATGGAGAGGAGTCAGTTTTGTTTTCCTTGGCATACTGTTGCTGCTCTACCAGAACTGTCACACATTAACTCATGAAGTCCAGGGATAGCTGTGGATCAGTGGGGGTCATACAAGGGACACAAATTCATACACACATCTACACTGAACTGAGGTCTACAAATAAACTTCTCAAAAGAATCTATGTGCTGCTGTATTTGATTCCAAGTCAACTTTACAATTAAGACACTCATGAATTGATTTGAACTTTAATTTAAATTGTGTTATTCTAAAATTAAAGTGACTTCATGATTAAACTGAAAACTACACCATAATGCTGAATACTGTACAGGACTTAATGCTGTAATACTGTGGGTGGTTGGTGTGTTGTTTCAGGGAAATTCTGCCCTCATGTGGATAAAGGCTGTAAGTGTATTTACCATGATGCTCTTATGAATATGACCAGAAACTTAAATGCATGAATCAACTGAAATTAATGACACATAGTCTATTTTTTTGCTGACAGCATTTTTCCATGTCTGCAGTTAAAGTAAACACAAACATTTTATTATTTCCTCAGCCAGCTGATCTTACACCTTAGTGGAGAGAAATGTCATTGAGATGAAGTATGTGCGGTAATATTAATAAACATGAATGTATATAAATATGAATATATAATATGAAATAAAATTATAAATATGAACATTTTCATCAACCATTGTTTACTGAGGGAAAACTGACTGAGAATTAAAATTAACCTCTTTAACAGCAATACCCCGAATTCATGCACATAAGGGCTATAAGGACATATAAGTATGTGTACATTATATATATATATATATA